AGTAGCTTTCTTTTTTAGATGCTTGTTTAATCATATTTTAAAAAAAAAATAATTCAGAAACAATTCTTTAGTTGATAATAAGTTCCTTTACCAGACAGTGAGTCAAGAAGGAATGATTATTAGGTTAGCTACTCCAAAAAGTGTACGGTTTCAACTTTGGCACAAGTGATTATTTGTCTTGATAACAGAGCAGTTGACTTAATTAAAACACTGTCCACATACCTGGCTTGCTCTGATGGAGAATACTGTTACAGGAGACAACAGAATCCTTGTTCAACATGCAGGAGAGTATGCTTAACTCACTTTTCATTCAGTTTTTCTTTCCTCTGTACTACACATTCATTGTATATCTCCTTGGAAAAAAAAGATCCCACAAACACAGTGCCCTGTTGCAGGATATGTGCTTCTGAATGACGCTGCTGTTCAGTTCCAGGCTGAACAGCTGAGTCTGGACCCCCTGAGATTCCTCGCTTTTTTTCTTTTCTCATTTACATTGAGGGTGGTCTCGCTCCACGACTATACATACAAGCACCATAACAGATGATTGAGTGCTTATTTGTGGAAACGCGGGTGCATTAGGATCCAGAGGACGCTGTGGACCAAATTAAATTAATGATGGCCTTTAGCTAAAGATATCAGGTTAAGATTGTAGTCTACATTTGACCTTCCACTGCTTAGAGTGGAAAAAATTTGTGTCAAAATAAAGGTGGGAGCCCAGTCTTTGCTTATAAAACAATCCTCATAGCTTCAATGTTTTCATCGCAGTGACACTTATTTATAGTGCAGTGATGAATTAAACAAAATCACTGCTTTGGCATTTCGGTATTTGGCCTGGGGAGTGGGTTAATTCTTGCGTTTCTAAATTTAAGTCAAAGTTCCCCATATAATGACTGTTGGAGACATGCGTTCAGGCACCTAAGTGCGTTTTGGCTTTTCAGTTAACATAGAACCAGCTAATAAGAAAAGTTAACAATGCAAACCTGCTGTTTCAGACTGAAAACTCAGGGGGTCGCTTGGTCCTCTAAGCAGAGTTGTCTTTGCTGGTATCGGAAGATTTGGATGTTTTCTTGCTAAATATAAACTGAATTCTGCAAGAGTCCGAATGTGCACAGAAGTAATTTGAATGCTTTAGGAAGGTTCAATACTTGACCTGGGGAAGAATTTAAGGCAAGGTACATGCATAGTGTCAAATAATTGCTTAGTGCTTACATTGCAGCAGCTAGCTTAGCCCGGCTGTGCCAAATATCATTGCACGTTATAAAATGCAAAGGACCTAAATTCAGAAGGAATCAAATAGTCTCATGAACATGTAGCTGAAGTGTTTAAAGCTGCAAATTACCTTGTTCCAATTACTGCATTTGCCTTGTAAGCAGCTTTCTAATGTAGAAGAGGAAGACCAGTATGCATAAATCTTGTAAATTCATTCTTAGAAAGGAAGTACAGCAGCTGTTGAAAGTTGATGTAATAAATGATACAGAAATGATTCTCTTGGGGTAACTGTGCCACACTTGGATGTTTTTCCGATGATTAGAATTGTGTGAGTAGTTCCATCAGCTGGAATATCTCTGCTCTTTTTATAAACACTGTTGAAAATTTCTAATACTTCCTAAGTAGATGAGTGGGTTTTCTTCCCTCTTTTATTCTGAAAGGAGAAAGAGAAAAGAATATATTGCCTGAAGTCCTGTAGAGTGTCTCTAGCAAAGAGACAATGGGTATACAGCATGCTATTACAATAGAGTATTATAATATAGTACAGTATATTCTCGTAAGTATATGATATAATGCATTCCCTGTTATGGCTGTAAGGCTAGCCACAGCTCTTAGAAACTGGAAAAGTGACCGTACTCGTGAATATCTGTGTTACCAAATCATCCAGAGATAGTTCACCATTACTACGTGGAAATTAAATCGATTGCATCTTAAAAACAATGTGTTAAAGAGCTCCTTTAGTCAATAAGAGATTGTGCTCTCCCACTGAGCAGTATGGAAACACCATACTAGGCCTGTGCTATTTCTAAAAGAAAGTGAAATTTAAAAGGTATTTTGTGGCTTTTTGTAAGGGTCTTAAATTCAGCTGGTTATTAGGAGCTTTCTGCAGGGGAAATGGCTCTGTCTTGAGTTTGGGATTTCTTTTGAAAATGCTTTGTATGTATATTTGAGTTTGAAGAACTGTACAGCGAGACCTCTCGTGCTCTCTTACCGCACGTGTAGCACAGGGCTTTTTCCAAAGAAATTCAACAGAAACAGAGTCTGGGAAAGATGCCACTTTTCTCCGAATTGTATTTTCATCACTGTAACTCATTCTAAATGCACGTCAGAGTGAGGAGTCCGTTCCTAGGCGCTTATCTCCGCGCTGATGGGCGGCGGGCCAAGGAGCCGCCGAGAAGAAGGAATATATTCAGCTGGTCACTCTTAGGAACAACACGGAGCATAGCTCTTAATGATGAGGTGCTTTGGGTCTTGTTGTGTGTGCATCCGAAATGGAAGCCATCATCTCAAGTTGCTCTCCGCCTGAAGAGTCAGCCTAAAATTAATAGCTAATGGAGAAGCGAAGGAAGAGACAAAGTGGAACCAGATGGGCTCGTGAACACAGATACATCATTTCACTTACCTTGGGCCACGACACTGCTGATTTGTATCAGCTCCGTGGAGTATTAGGGTTGTCTGTTTTCAGAAAAAGTAAAGGTTTTCCTAAAAGCTGTTTGCTTCCTGTTCGCTTTTATTTACTCAGTAAATGCGTAATGGTTTTGAGGTTGCTTCAGCCAGGTCTCCAAGTATCCAATGATCAACGCCAATGAGAAGCATCTAGCTTTATATAAATGCTTAACTGCCCTGCTCTTTAATCTAGGCTCTTCAGTGATCCCTTGTTACCACATTACAGTGTATATAGACCAAAGTAAAAAACTTCAACCTAACGTTTCGGCTTTTTCAGCACTCTCGGTAACTTTACCAACCCCTTCTTGGTTTTTCTCTTGGTTTTTATGTGTTTATGGGGTGATTGTGTAGGTTAGGTGTTGTGTCTCTTGTTTTGTCCTTTGGCCTTTCTGTGGTTTTTTTTGGTTCTTTTGCGGTCACATCGTTTTATATTTGTCTCCGCTTACTTTAACTTAATATCCTCTGTATGTTATTGCCTTGTACTTGGGACTAGGCATGTTTTTGTTTCAGGCAGTTTGATCTCTTACATCAAATCTAGTGCGTTAAAATAGTTTGCGCTTATGCTTTCGGGAGCTGTTGCACCCCTAATTTGTTTTTTCTCCTCTAGGCTTCTTTCCTTTGAAATCATACCAGCCATGTCACTGAATCAGTGGCTTGAAGAGAAGAAAGCGCTTTTCCATATTTTCTTTATTCCTTCCTCCCTCCCCTTTTCATTTCTTATGAGTTGTGAATTCATCACTTTATGATTAATTTTACCCTGGATTGCCTTTTGTCTTCATGTTCTCTCTCAGTTTTTCATCTCTATGATGTAGAATGAAATGTAGATCCCACATTAGTTATTTCTTTTATCTTCTGTATTAGCATGTTGTCACCAATATATTCAAGAACTTACCAATTGTCCTGTATCCTGTTGCGTTCCCAACTTTCTGTTGGGAAAGGGCGTTTTACTTTAGTCCCTTTCACTTGCAGCGAAATCTGGAATGCTTTTCCCAAGGGAAACACACAATACACTAATTATTTAATAATAGCTCCAGGGATGATTTGTGGATCATCCCTTCAGATGGATTGGGGCACACCGCTGCACGTGCCCTGAAGTATGTACGGGGAGATGGAATTCCTGGAGGAAGCTGCTAGCGTGGCCAAAGCCTGCGGTATAGGAGTAGGGATATTGATAGCGGGGCTGCTGTCAGCCCCAGAACAAGGGGCCCTGGGACGGAATTTGCTTGATTTGCTTGTGCTTGCATCCACGCTAGCTTCAGGCTGCAGAATGTCATAAAACATAGAATGGTTTGGGTTGGAAGGGACCTTAAAGATCATCTGGTTGCAACCACCCTGCGTGGGCAGGGACACCTTCTGCCAGACGAGGCTGCTCAAAGCCCCCTCCAGCCTGGTCTTGAACGCTTCCAGGGATGGGGCCTCCACAGCCTCTCTAGGCAACTTGTTCCGGTGCCTCACCACCCTCATACTGAAGAATTTCTTCCGTATATCTAATCTAAATCTACTCTTTTTCAGTTTGAAGCCATTACCCCTTGTCCTATCACTACATGCCCTTCTAAAAAGTCCCTCTCCAACTTTCTTGTAGCCCCCCTTCAGGTACTGGAAGGCTGCTACAAGGTCTCCCCAGAGCCTTCTCTTCTCCAGGGTGAACAACCCCAACTCTCTCAGCCCGTCTTCATAGGAGAGGAGCTCCAGCCCCCTGATCATCTTTGTAATGTCATCTCATCTCTTTGCAGCCTCTCTGCCAGGTTAACAGCAGATCTTGTAGTCTTTTCTCCACACGAAGTGCAGGGAGACAGCTGGGACTATGAATCCACTAAAAGCTACCTATGTAGGGGATGTACTTGATTTTATATGTGCACGCACACAGACACACGTATTTTTATTAGCCAACATGGTAATGTTTGGCCAGCTGCCTGGAAACTATTCTAAACTCTACCCGGAGTGGGACCTTGTGAAAAACATGCTCTAGCGTATGGATGGTGTATTCTTTTAGCAGCTCCCTCGTTTCCACTCCATTGTAAATATTTACCTTTATTCATCAGTCCTCCACAATCACTTTACCTGCCCTCTTTGGCAAGAAACTAACATTGAGAATGTATATATTTAAGTGTACTGGACCACACTAGTGGTTAGGTAATTAAATCTGAAATTATCGGAGGTGGGAGCATAGGATTGTGTTGTAACTTAAGTGCAGCTTGCTTTTTTTTTTTTTAAAAGGGTTGCTGGCTTTGGGATAGATGTGGGCTGTTAATAACAAAATCTGTTCTTAGGGATGCCAGTCTCTTTTAACCTTAATGTGTTACCCTCACCTCCCTGTTTTGTTTTTTTTTTCTCCAAACCATCAGGTCCCAAGCCTCTGTGAAGATCTCCTCTCCTCTGTTGATCAGCCATTGAAGATTGCACGAGATAAGGTGGTGGGAAAAGACTATCTATTGTGTGACTACAACAGAGATGGAGACTCATATAGGTGAGTTCATATCCAAAGCAAGGAACTAACTGGTTTACTTTGTAAATGAGAGCTACGTACAAGTATTGCAGTCCCTTCTCCCTCTTATTCTTAGCCAAAAAAAGAAATTTAATGATATTAAACTCTTCTCGGCGATGAAGCTGGGATTGTTTCAAATCCTCTTCTCTTGAGTAAGACATCGGCTATGGAAATTGTTCGTAGTATTCCCTAATGCGAAAGGGCATAAACATCTTCAGACCACCATGGAGTACTTCATTTTCAGATAACGTGGTTGTATAGCTGCTAATCTGATGACCTCTGCAAGGCAGGTCCCCACTGCCTGTCTCCTGAACAAGATGTGTTTTATCTTAAAAACCACAGTGTTTCTGCATGTTTTCTTTATTGTGATTTGCAGTCATTCATTGAAGCCTAAAATGTGATGATGTTATCTTGTTAAAGGGGTGACTAACGCATTTCTCTTAGGTTTTCTGTAGTATAGTTATGTCTTAGAGAATTAAAACCAGTCGGATCTCTAGGAGAAACAATTGTGATGGCCTTGGCATGAAATTAAACCATCTATTGTTGCAAGGTTGTAAAATCTTTGGAACGGATAACGATAGAAAAGAGATGATGCAAGCAGTCGGTTCAAACAAAATCATCTTCTGCCTGTACAAAACAGGGTGGACTTGCCAGCTGGGAAGGGCTCTTTCACTTGTGTTTTACAAGGGGTTGAGTCTGACTTTGGACATGCAATGTCATTAGTTCTCGATGAAAATCTCAGCCCAAGTTTTTTTAGCAAAGAAAAGGAATCCCTCTCTACCAAAATAGCTAATTTCTTCTGAGGACTGTAGACAAAAACAATGAAAATGTTTGAACAACATAAGCTGTATGTAATTATAATATAATGAATTTTGAAGTAGAAGAGGCTGTAATACTGAAATCGTACAATGAGTTTTCAGTATTTTGGCTGCCACTTTGAACGCAGCCTCTCTTTTAATGTTTTTATTCTATACCTTGCCGTTAGGATGATTACAGTTGAGCTCAACTATTTGTTGAGTGATTTCCCCCCCCCTTTTTTGCATTGCCTGCCTTTTTCTTAATGTCTGTAGTGACAGTGGCATCATTCCAAATATTTAATTAAGAATCACAAAGCTTAGAGTCCAGAAACCTTTGTGCACATTGCATCACCTAGCTTTTATTCTTTTCTCCTAACGAAGGGTGCTAGGCTGTGAAGTAATGACCACCATTCATCTTCTGTCCTGGGTTAACAGCTCAGCCATTCTGCTTCTTCTGGTTATGATTATGAGGGTTACATCTCTGGCTCTCCTTGCAGCTTCGCTGTAATAGCTTACATTTTTAGTGCTAACAATCGGAACTGATCTACAGTAAGAATCTAGCTTTGCTTTGTGCAGATTTGCAGTAGTGTTTTACATTCATCTGGCCAGAGTGTTCCAAGAATTCTATGGAATAGTGGAATTCCAGAAAATATTGTAACAATCGTTTTTTCTTTGGCTCAGGCCATCATTGCAGAAGCAAGTAAGCTTATAAAGGATTCCAGATTAATTGGTTTCAATTGCTTTGAGTTGGAGGAAAGGTGCTTATCTAAACTGAAAGCATATCTGTCTGTAGATGATTTACGCAGAGAACATGCTGAGATTCATTTTGTCCTAGAAACAGGAGGAGGAGACTGATAACGGGTGCAAAGTTTGACAGTGCATCTGGATTGTGGCTGAGTGTAAATCTTAATGAGTTTTGGTTTTTTTTTTAAATACAACCTATTGCAGTGGGCCAGGAAGTAAGAAGGTCTCTAAGTTCTCTTGTGTTCTTTAGGGTACTAGTCTAACATGGAAAGTTTGTTCAACCTTCTACCAAAGAGCCCGGTGCCTTTTAAAAGCATTTGTGCATTAAGCTTGTACGTCCAAGCTGGTCAGATCTATGTTAGCAGCTACATGCATTTAACCAGTTCTAAATGAGAAGCTAGAATAGAGTTTTATAGCTTCTGCCCTCCATGAGATATACTCGCGCAGCTGCGTCCTCTCTGGCAGATGCAAGAGAAGGGATTAGATCCTGTATTTCTTGTGGGTCTTTCAAGAAATGCTTTCTCACTGAAGCTGTGATATGTTTCTTGCAGTCCCCTTGCATCCTATTTAGGCTGTCGACATGAGCATCTATCACCAGAGGCGCAGGAAACTTGAAAAGGCACTTGTTGAACAGTATTGTGACATGCTGCAGTAACTAATAACACTTGCTCCCCCACGCCCCTCCGTGTTTAATTAGTGCATGTGGCAGCCCTTTCTTTAAGGTTAGGTTCGTGCTTGCCTCTGAAATTTGCTCAATCTCTTTCTTTCTGAGAAGATGTTTAAATAGTTACAAGGAAACAGGAAGACTTACGTTTTTTAAATCGCTTCGAAATTTTCAGGACTTATTAAGTAATGGGGTTTCAGAAAAGCTATTTAATTTGTTTGCATAGAATAGGCATAACGTATTAATTGCTGGCATTAAAGAATGCTGTTCTTTTAAGGCTTTTGATTCAAGCGTTCGGGATTGAAGTGATTCTTCCTTCTGGAATTGATTGGTCTCAGCTCCGTTTCATGAAGTAAATTCTTTCCTTCAGCACAAAGCAAAAGCCTTTGAAAACCCAGCGATACTAACATGTGCATGTGTTAATCCCATTCTGTGCCTGTGTTCAGACACTGTTATTCATACCTCATAAAATCTGAAGTTGTTACCGGGAAGTGGCTCTTACACTAATTTAATCAATTAGGCCAAAATCTAGGAGGAGTTTACTGTGCTTTTAAAAGCTTTTGATATTTCCACAAAGATTTTTTAGAACCACACACTCGATTAGAAGTCCCAAGAAATACTATTCCCTGCCTGCAACACTCTACATCCCCAATTATTGCACGCTTGAAACTAAACACCAGTTTTCTTCTTATTGCAGAGGTTGCTAATTGCATTTCTTTTAATACTAATCCAAGGATTTCAAAGCATTCTGCGGACAACTGAGCCTCACGCTACTTCGGCAGGAAAGGTGGAGCTAGGTAGTCAGAGTTTCTCGCTGGGAATCAAATTTTATAGGGGTTTTTTTTGAGCGGCTCTACAATTTGACTGGGAATTAGCTTTGAAAAAAAGCTGCTGTGGGTTGTTTGGCCATTCAGGTGATAACCCCGCCAGTGTCACGGGGCAGCACACAGGGAAATGAATATCCTAATGCTTAGCCCATCACAGTTTACTCCTTCTTCATATTTAGACAGACTTGGTTTTCTCCGTGTCGAGCATGGATCGGACCAGAAGGCAGATTTGTGGAGTCTCTCTTGGATCTTCATAAATAGATAATTTTCGGTTTCTTCGTATTATCGCATTGCTGCTTGTGGGAGCAGCCTTTCATGCGCAGAGTCTCGCGGGCACTTCTGCGAGTGCTCCTGTAATAACCAAGGTTTGTGGAGGATATCAAACAGCCGTGGAATCCGCATTGTGAAGGCAGGGCTTTTATTAATTTTTTTTAATATATATATATATATAAAAGACTTCAAGGTCCCTGACTTTGTCCATACATTTCCACTCTAAGTATGTTTGATCACTCTATTAAATGGAATCCTTATGGGGAATTTGGTGCCAACAACACTGAAACCTGTTAGCTGAAACAAAAACCATTCTCTTTTAGGGAAATTAGAGGTCTGACTTTTGAAATTTAAGTGCTTGTCCGTCTGTCTGTCTTCAAATAGCCTCCATTTAAGTTTTTAAATGTGTTGCGAGTACTCTTCCACAAAAAGAAAAAAAAATATGGGGTGGTGTTCTGAGGGTTTTTTTTTTTTAGGTGAAGTTGCTGCTGGCTCCAACTGTAATGGGCTGAAAATGCCACAATCTGCTAGCTGGAAGAATCTGTGTTACTAGGCTTCCCTTAAATCCCATCCCTGCAGCCTGCAAAAGACATCTAACGTTTACAATTAAAGTATCTTGACTGTGGCTTCTGCATGGGTTCTCTGCCCACCGATTTCCTCGTACACGATGGAGAAGCACAGTGCTCTGAATTTACAGCAAACAGTAGAATTTTTTTGGAATTTGCCTTTTAAAATTTAGTGGAGAAGGAAAAAACGAAGCGCATCCTGATGAATCCTGCTGATAAGGTAGCGGTACGCTTCTGCATTGCCTGGCGTACAAGCCCTGGCTTTGCTTTTGCAGACTTCGTGATAGCAAGGGCAATGCTCTGTCTGCCTGAACTTCTTGGGTGCCGTTGGGTTTTGTGCCTGCTGCCTGATGGGTGCAGGTCTGCCGTTTGGGAATCCCGCAGGTAGCACCGGTGGCGATTTTTTTGTGTGAATCTTTTCCAGATTTCAGAGACTTGTTAGGTAAAGGAGCACTACTGTAGCTGTTGACTTTTCTCCAAAGCAACCGAGTTTTAAGCAACTGTTTTAAAACGAGAACCACCCCCTGAAGAGCATTGCTCCGGGTGGAAGCGGCATAACGATTTAGCTTTTCCTGGTGTCTCACCTTTTGAGTCAGATGTAGTAGGGAGGAGTGAAGTGTTGTGAAAGCGCAAAGCCGGAGCGAAGCAGAGCCTGTTCTTTGTGCTTTGCATTAAGCAGATGTCAAAACTAGATGCCTTTCTGAGAAACGAAGAACAAATGGCTACTGAGGAAAAAGCCCTTGCGTATGGACTGCGTTAAGACCTAGCGCTAGGAGACTGGAGTATTTTGAAAAGTGAGTAGGTGAAGGGTAGAGGTACCTTTCTTTAAACTAGCGGTGATATATGTAGGTTGGTTATTCCAAGGGGAAATGAGAAGGAGAATGCAGGTCTACAGAATGGGAATTGTAAAAGTCTCAAGCAGATGGGCAAAGGGTTCCATTAATCTTTTAATACCAAATCTTTCATTAAGAGCACAAAATCTCTTCCACACCTGCAGAAATCATAGTAAAACCCACAGCTTTACAAACCCTGTTAAATCCTTCAAACTGTTCAAATTTCCTAATGTTATGCTAAAAGTAGAGTTTATTTCAAAGTAAAATAGTAGAGGAGAATTTGGACCTTAATTGTAGACAGCAGCGTTTGGCTAAATACTGCCAGATCCCAAATAAACTACACAATCTATTTCTATTTGCGTGAAAATAATTTTAAATATCTAATGTGCAACAGCTGATGCCTCATTTTTGAATATTTAAGAAGGAACAGATTCAAACCCAAGCATGATTGTTTATATAGTAGAAACCTGAAGGCGGGGAGTGTTCCCCAGGTACGCAGTAAACTTTGGGGAGTCGGAGTCCTCTTTTTGTCAGTGTTTGAAATGGCTGTTGAGGGTGAAATTCTTACAGATCGACTGCTCTTGGTACCTTTTGGTTTTTTTGGAAGTTCAGCACCTGTGGATCAGGTCAGACCCACTGATCTCAAACCTTTCAGAGTTTGTCTCGGTTGTCTAACTGTCTCCCTTGTCTCTCTGGCAGATCACCATGGAGTAACAAATACGATCCTCCCCTGGAAGACGGTGCCATGCCATCTGCTCGCCTGCGCAAGCTGGAGGTGGAAGCCAACAATGCCTTTGACCAGTACAGAGACTTGTATGTCAGTTCTACCGTACAGAGCCCTCTGCTTGCTTTGTTTCCTTCAGCAGGCATGCAATACACACAATGAGTCTAAAATGCGGTCGCTAGCCGCCTCTGAGAGCGGCATACCAATGTATAGCAGAGGAAGAAGGGTAGGCAGCTGCTGATCTGCTGCTGGGCAGCGTTTCCACTGTGATTTCACGATACAAAAACATGATTAAATTTGTCAGCTGATGCTAAAAGCAGACGCTGAGGTGCTTTCCTGCCTCCCTCCTGCCTTTAACAAATCAATGGCGTCTTTGTCCTGAAATGACCCGTGTTCTCTTTGATCTTGACTAAGTTCAGTCTTAAACCATCTCTGCTTTTTCCAGTCCCTCAAGACTCTACTCTCTCAAAATAGCTATACATATAGCAGCGACTTTCCCATCTTCCAGTAAAAAGACAGGCGCTAGTACACTGAAATGCAGCAGCTATATGGGGATTAATGTACTTCTGCTGCAAGGGCCGCTCTCTGATGCTCATTTTAGGCCCTGTCTTGTTAAAGAGGTGTAAAGCAAAGGAATTAATAGAGCATGTGTAAGGTGAACGTAGATTAGGCAGTGTCTTTTTTAAAGCAGCAATAGGAAACTGTCGGGGTGACTTGTCAGTTGGAACAGTTTTTTTAAAAGGTGGGACTGCACTGGTCTGGCATTGCAGTCACATCCAAGGTCTCGAGATGTGATCAGGTTTAGCTGTCGTCTTTATAGATTGTGGCCTCCTAAGCAGCGGTGGGATGGAAATAGTAATGCTAAATCTAAAAAGCAAGTGTGCAAAGCAAAATGAACTTACTACTTTATCCCGTAACGGCATGCTTTCTTATTGGAGATGCCTAATGACCATGAAAAAGGTGAACAAACCTCATTGCTGCTTCATGTTGCCCAGAAATGGAGATCAGACACATCCTTAGATGTGGTTCATCATGTGTCTCTATTACAATGCTAACAAAAGCAGGTAAAAACGTACTTTTCTTGCTAGATTTTCTACTCATTTTAAGATGCGTCTTGATGTCAGTGTAGCCTGTTCAAATGTGTAATCTTCACACTTTTGTTACAGGTATCAATTTTTTACTTCTTTTCATGCATTATTTCCATAGATATCCAGCTTCTCTTGTAAGTAACAGCTGTTATTGGTATCCGAACTTACTGGAAGAAAGGAATTTTGCATATGCAGCGAAGAGAGGTTTGCAGTTACTCCCCAGGTGCAGAACAGACCGGGACCGATAGGATTTTTAATACACTAGGATGAAAATGAGTAGGTTTGTGGAACCAAGGTTGTCTTTTTAAATCCCTCTCTGATCAGATGACCGTGAAGTCACGGCTGGATACAATAACTCCTTTAAAAAGGTTTCATTTGCGGGAAGGAAAGCACGGTACAGGTTACTCTCAGGTAAATCTGTTAATATATTGTATGGAAGTAAAAGGTGAGATTGTATCAGATTTCATCTTTCAGTTTGTCAGTCCAGGTTTTATAGGCGATACATTGTTAGAGGGCATACGGGAGGGATTTCTCACAAAGATTTCATTCTCGTGTCATCAGCCAGAGATGACGGAGGTATTAGGGCTTGCAGTGTAGTCAGACTAGATAAGCGCATCTGTCAGCACAGTACGCTGTGATGCATGTTATGATCTCAAAAATGTGTCAGAAAAAGAGGAGAAGGGTGGCTTACGTTTTGCTGAGTGGTGTAGAAATTCTGGCATTTTTGGAAAGAATGTGCGAAGTTTGGGAAACTTAACCTGACCATTTGAAGGGTTCCTCATGCTTGAAATTGGAAATGATTTGTACTTTACCTACAACAGAGATTTGGATAGAAACATGCTTTTGTTCTAGTAGTTGGACTCTGCCGTTCCCTTAATAAGACAATTGGATTTTGTATTTTGACAGCAGAAGCTTAATTTTTACTTGGAGATCAGCAGGGGGGGGCGGGGGGGAAACGAGGTGGGAGTAACAAGTGCCAGCTTTTCTCACTGCTGCTTGCCGGTCTTGCCAACATATCAGGTTGGGAACGCCTGTAACAATTACCCGCATAACAGCTGCTGAAGCCATGTGGGAGTCTGAAGCGTGGGGAAGGTTGTAGTGGGAACAAGATGGCAATTGCAGTGATGTAATTTCCATGGTCTGCTAGAGCTGGAAACTAATACTGCGTACCCACTGTAAAGCCAGAAGTAGGTCTGAGCCACGTGGTGTCAATTAAAGGTGTCACTGGCCTTCTGGTTCGGCAGCTTGAAGCACTGGGAAAGGAGTCCACGATGCATTGGTTCCAAGAGAAAGTTATCAGTGTTGTTTCAAGTTCCAGAGCCAGTGACAACAGAGATTTTCCAGCATTATGAAATATTTCAGGCTCATTTGAAAGAGTTGATGTATTAATCAAAAAAAACTAAGTAGTGTGCTGGCAGTCTTCAGCATTGTATCTTTTGTGGAAATTATGGTTTCTGTTGTATGGGAAGATTTCTAATGGGTCCACCTTCCAGTAACCGTGTTCATTTTGTAGGCAGCGTGCGAAAAACGTTTTTTTGAATTGACCTGCAGAGACTTTCATTGCCTCTTCTCTCTCTGATGGGGCTGTCTGTCCAAACGGACCGTTCATAGGTGGCGCAAATCTAATCGATACTTCACATGACAAATTCTTTCTTTAAAAATGTGAGTTTAAGTACAGTGGCTGTTGCACTGTTAGACTTTCTGCTTGCATTGCAGATGAAGAGGATGAAAATGATGCTGAGAGAGAAGCCTCTGATCTGACTCATCAGGTTCTCATACAGCAGTCCCTTAAGAGCCTCTTCTGTCCCTCTCTCTACAGGGTAGCAAATGCTTTTGAACTACACCTCTAACCACAGCTATGCTATGTTTTATGGCAGAGAGGTAACAGTTAATACAAAAATAATCTTATGTAAGCAGTCATTCACAGAGAACACCAGGCTCCAGTGTGCTTGAATTTCCTGGGCTGTTAGACATTTTATTCCTATAATGAGGGTTTCTGCTAGGTTTTTCAAAGCAGTTTGTGGCTTTGTTTCCAGCCTTGCTGGGCTAAACTGCTGGATCTTTTGCCTGCAGTCATCTAGCCAGCAGGAACTGCCTGTCCTAGAAAGATGCTGTGTATCTTAATACCTTGGAAGCACTTGTCTCTGAGATGTTGCTCTGCATGGTGCTCGCTTCACTCCCCAGCTTTAAAAGGCGTCTTATACTGGTCGTTCCAGCGGGGAGCGTAAGGGGAAGATGTTTTCTTTCTATAGAAAAATAAGTACTTTCGAGAATACGTGCTATTCCCACTCTGCTCTCAGCATACAGTCCAAGCTTCTTCTGGATTATCTCCCATTTTACCTTTACACACAGTAAGTGATAATATCTGAGAGAGTTCATCTCAGGCGTCTCCCAAGACTTCAGATAGTTTCAGTTTTCCCTTGTGTCAGTCCCATTTGGCCCACATACCATTCCTTTTTAGATTTCTGTTTTAATCAGGTGTGGTAAGTATCCACCTACATTTAGTGAGTCATCGGCATGTATTTGCCGTTTCCCAAGGGGTTGGCACCTGCTAGCGTGGGTGTTTTGAGGGAAACAGCCTGTTATGCATTTGTTAACAATTTGTGTGAAAAAATCCATACAGATTTGCTTGCTGGTGACTAGTCTTAAATTTGAGTTTTGTCCCCAAAAGCTTATTGGCCAGCACGCTGAGTAACTGTAGTGTGAAAATAGGTTCAGAGAAGTCTTGTAATATTGCATGGAGTTTTTTCGAATCATGAAAGCTTGAGAAGAACAACTCTGCTGAATCTTCAGTGCCTCTTAACCAGTGCTGAGTTGTTCCCTGTAAGCGTCTGTTTTAATGCAGGCTACCTTTAAGTATCTCTGGAGTTGCCCACCTTTTATTTCTGGAGGCACGTTCATGTCTCTTTGGGTTAAAGAGGAATTATACTAGGTTTTAATTCCCTCTCTACTATGTGTTAAACAACAAGCATATTTCTTGGTTATCTATTTCAGCAAAATGCATGTCACTTTCCCAAAAAACAACGGTTTAATTTTGATCTCCTGCTGCCAGGTTTAACTCAGACACTGCCTGAAGCTAATGCCCTGGTCTGTTTTTGTTCAGTAGGTTATTATTCCCAGATGGAAGTCTAATATCTTACACCATTCAGTTAGAGCCTTGGCTCTCCACTTCCAATATCGTGAAGATAATTTCTTCAAACACATGGTTGTAATTTATTGCCCTTTGCTTGACGTGTGCGCGCGATTGATTGAAATCAAAGCATAATGAGGACCAGGGCATCTGGATAAATCTGTCTATTTTAGATTCCGTGTTCTGTTGCTTTGGATTGGAGATAATCAGTGCTTTAATTAAGTAATCTAATCGCTCTTTGTTGTCTGGAAGAAATAGTTTCTGAAGTGATTAAATAGACCTCCCTGGGAAAGGATGCTGCAGATCTGAATATTTCTACAAACAGGATGAGTTCTGGCAACTTTGGACTGGTTTAGTAAGCTGACATACATTTAGAAAGCTATCCCTTACCTCTTTGTTTCTTGGGTTAAGTTAGAGTTGTTGATACTTTTGATTTTTAACAGCTTTAAAAAAAAAAAAAAAAAAAAAAAAGATAAAATGCTCCTCTTAATCATGCTGCTCCTGAAAAATGTTTTTATTGATTAAGGTTTTGAGTTCCCTCAACAGAGTAAGCCATGAAGCCTTTTGAACTTCTGCTTCTATCTGTGTTTTGATGTTGATCCATTTTCAATTTGTTTTATTAGAGCTCCGGACAAGGAATTTGGTAGGAGCGGAAGGAGGTCTGGGAGAGGATTGACCTCTAAAATGTCTTCATTGTGTGTAATCCTCTTGTTATTGAATTTTGGATTGGAATCCTGTCGGAAATGGAGTTAGTCACTCAAATTTTTGATGGTTTTAGCAGTGCTGAGGATGGCACCCCTGCCAACCAAGCATTTGCTGTGCTCTTTGCGGCATAGATACTGCCTAAACTGAACATCCATCACCTTTCTCT